AGCAGATATATTATACTTATGTAAGTAAAGATACGAATGAAGACCTAAGTTAAGTATATGGAGCTTTGAGCACCTCTAAGAGTATTGTGTTTTTGGAGAGTCACATACAACTTACTATAATTATTTTTTCAATGAACACCCTAAATATTTTTACTGATTCACTTCATAGGCCTTCTTATAGTCGTATTGTCTTTTTAAAAAACAGAGTATAATATTTTAGAATTTTTTATAAACGCCCTGTATACTCACTAAATTTAACATAGATATACAAAAAAATCCTAATTTATACTGCTCAAAAAGTTATTAATTAATGCGATATCGAAAAGCGCGTACTTCCTGAGTCACCCTATATACACATATTTGTGATTCAATCATTATTTCGAGACAATGGATTTTTGGTGGCGGAAGCAGGACTATTAAAAATGCCGAAGTGATGTGGCTATTCTAACATTGGTTTATGTAGCGTGCCTCACTCAAGACTTCCTTCCCCTTTTCGTAACTTTTTTATGGCGATAATTTTAAATTATGATATTATTAAATTTCCGGATGTCAAAGAAACTATTTTTAAAGCGTATTTTTTTAAACTTTATTAGACTAATTAGTTTTAAAAATATTATTTTTAGGCCATACTAGCCGAATATTAATATTATAACCGTCCTGGATTTTCCTTTCCGAAAGATAATTAAAAATATAAATACACATATCGGTCAAATTAATGGCCACTAGGTATCAGAAAACGAGAATTTAATACCTACTAAAATAAAGCAAACAATATTTCTTTTAATGCTAAAAAATTAACTTTTTAATGATATGGAAATTCAAAAACTTATTAGTGAACAAAATTATTTCAGCGTATTATTTGTGAAATTTTTGTAGCATTAATTTTTAATTATACTACTTAGTTTATAATGACAATAAATTCGCTCTGTGTATTTAAGCAGTTTAATTATTCATACGAGATTATATCAGCGTGTTTTGGGAAAAACAGTGGTCACTATTCTAAGATGATGACAAAAAGAAATGCTTATCTAAACGGTCCCAAACATAAAAGAAGCTGTTTTGTGAAACGCCCACATTCTGGATTAATACAAGCACAATTCTTTGCCAACTGCCTTAATTAATCTAAAAGAAAAAATAATTTGCCAAAAAAGCTTAACAAACATTTAATTTACTGGGAATATTATAACCTCGATTAGCAAGGTTCAAACAGGGGCGTCGTTATGGGAGGGTATGGGAGCTTAACCCCCAAAATTCAAAACTCATCAAAAGCTGGCAAATTGATAAATAGTTGGTAAACCATTCGACAATACTTTTTTTGTCATGAAAAAATGAAAAATACAGCGTGATCAATAAATACTGTTTAAGTTGGAAGTGGAATTAACCAATTCTGGGAAATGTTTCTTGCGCTGCTATTACCTATCCTGCTTCAAGTGGTTGTCGCTATGTCATTTTTAAACTCTTAAGAAAGTTAGGTTATAAGGTAGTGTCAAATTTTAACAATAACCCAAAATAAATTATTAATAAATAATTTTCATTCAAGTTAATTAAATGTCACTGTCAATAACGTCAATTTTCCAACAGGAAGTAATTTGGGGGACAGTTCTGCCAATTTCAAGCAAATTTGTTGATACCAACTGAAACAATAATTGTTGATCATGTCGTATCAAGCATAAAATCAAGTTATTAACTGAACAGTTAGAAACGCCAAAATTGGATGTAGTTGATACCAGACAAGTCTCAGAAACTAATTTAAACGTAGACGAACCTAAAATGTCTTAACCCTTAAAATAAAAATTAAACAAATTAAACTATAAATATTTTCACAGAGCTCATTGTAGGTCCATGTTAGACACTTTCACATTATCAATTACAAAATATCACTTTAACTGTCAACGACTGACTGGAAAAAGTTGATTGATCCAACAGCCAGCGCAGCACTTTAATAAATAACTCCTTAGGCCGAAATGTTATATCAAATCCACATTATATGTGTCTCTTGTGTCATTCTGTTTTGACACTTAAATATAGACAAAATTTTGTCAAATCAAGTGTGAGCTATTGTTGCAATTTCTTTAACTGTTCAAAAAGACATGATGTTGGCATATTGCAGTGAAAATTTGAAATATTGTTTGACAACTGCTACACAAGAAAGTCGATGAAAGACATAATGATTGTGTCAGTTAAATTTCAAGTATGTACTTTTAAAAAATGTATTTTCTTCAGCCATTTTGTAGTACCTAACTGTAGTTTTTTCGGTTGCCATAAGTGAGAGGTTTAGCTCACTAAATTTTGTAAGAATCAAATACATACGACGTTGGACGTTGATAGTGCAAAATATATAATGTCATCCGTCAAAAAAGATTTGACAGATTTAATGAAGCTAGTGCGTCAATATTTTAAAACAAAATATTTTTGACAGTTTTAAGTTATGTAATTAATGTAGATATAACAAACATTTTTACCAAATATATAAATATAAAAAATAAAACAGCTCTCGCTACGCCTCTGGGTTCAAAGTCCATGATAATTAACTTGTTGTGAGATTTTCTAAATTAATGTGATACGTGTTTGTGTACACAAGTGTGTACAGTTTACGAATTAATTCATTTTTATGCTCTTTACTTTCCCAGCGTAAGCTAAGGAAGTAATCGAACCTCGGACGAATGGCCACTTTTATGTTTTCTCGACGTTTCATGACCCCTACAGTACGAAAAAAGTAGTTTCCCGTTTCTGTCTATCTGTCTGTCTGGTGTCGGTATCCATTTTTATTAGGGACGTAATCTCCGAAACTGCTGGACCGATTATTGTCAAATTTTGTATGCATATTAGAAATATCATTTAGATGGTTAAATGCTAACCAAAATTTGACTGATCATCCCCACAAACAATTTGAAGACATTATTTTAATGAATTGTATCTTAAAATGATTTGCATGTTACACAAAAATATACTCCTCTACTTACAGTGTACGAATTCGCTTAGAGTTTTTCCGCTAAACGTTCAAATTTTCGTAAAAATATTGGCAGGTATAATAACGTTTTATTCCCAACACGGTTTTTTGCATTGATATAACGCTGTGACTACTTTTCTTTGATGTTGATGACGTCATCACAAATTTTTTATTGATCAAATTATCCCATTTTCCTGAAAATGTGAAGAATAGGAGGCACGTCTTTATATACTAATAATAAAATAAGAATTATAATATTCAGAACATTTGTAGTTTAATTAATAATTTTAGTCCTCTGTTTTGCGCAGACAAACTCATTCAAATGAAACTAATTTCTACATGACATTGTTTCGATGTATAAACATAAATAAACACTTAAGCTTCTGATTGCTATTACCTAGTGCTGAATGACAATGGGTGTTATTTATGCCTCTGGTTTTTACTTTACAGCGGTTATCACAAAACTAAAATCGTAAAATCAAATTTTATAATTTTTTTAACGAGCTGGATTTGTCGGATTATACTTATAGCCTTCGACCAATTTTTTATTAATCAAATTAAGAACCTCGTGTTCTAGAAAATGTGAGAATACCCACGTCTTTATTTAATCATGGTCATAATCATATTCAAAACATTTTGTTCCATTGTGGTTTAATCAATAATTACAGTCTTCTTTTTTGAGGAGACAACTCATTCAAATTAAACAAATTTCTACGTGACATTCTTTCGATGTATAAACATGAACAATCGAAGTTAAGCATGCACACTGATGATAATACGTGGAATTTTTTTATAAATTTATAAATTTTTAGTTTGAATTTATCTTGTGTTAAACATTTCAGAAAATTACATACCAACCTTTTAGCAAACAGCTTATTACCACACCTAGGTGTGTCACGACAGAGTTTGAAGACAAAATAACTTAGAAAAAATTATGAAAAACTATTGGAAAATCCCTTTCCAAGATTCAAATTTCTCATATTTCGTGCGAAAATCATCAAGGTTCCAACACCGTATATGTAGTGTTATTATAGTATCTTATATATCTTGGTTTACATGGCTTTATAAGGTTAAAGTATAAACGTTTATAAAAGAAAAACTAAAAAGGAATTTTTAATTATGCACGAAAATGGTGAGTGTGACGTTTCAGTTGTTTATTAAACTTTTAAAATTAAATATTTTCTGCTAAAAACGAATGTAAGTAGCAACTTTTTGTTCACAATAGTGACAATATTGATACAGGGAGGTGGTGTAATACCTATTGCAGCTGTTCTATGTTGTGTATTCAAACAATACACATAGAAATTTTTTGTCGCATGTCTGTTTATCGGAGTCTAGACCATAACACTTTACAATGTTTTTAAACGGAGTGGTTATTATCCGGTTTTAGTAAAAACAATGTCAAAATGTGAAAATTCACACTATTTTAACTTTGATACTTTTTTATGTCGCTGTACATACAGTTTTTCTACCGCCACCTTATCAATTAGACCAGTTTATTATACCTAAATTGTCACCAGTATGTAAATAAATCAATAAAAGCTACCACATCAACTAACTGACATGTGACTGACGTCCTAAATGAACCAGGAAATGCTACCATTCCTCGCTGCCGCCTTCCAATTGTTCGCCACTACCCTCCACATGTCCAGCACATAGGCGGGCCAGAAAAATCGTCTTCCGGTCTCCGCCAGAACCCGAAAGAAACTGAACATTTTATTCTTGTAACATTATACTTCCTCCGCCTAAAACAGTCCCATTTCAACATCAAGTCGCATCTTAATCCTGCCATGTATCTAACTGCATCTCGTTTCTTAAACAGACCGCGACTCGGTCACATTACGTGAGCAAAATCTCTATATCTCGTGTGTTGGCGGCGGGCGGCGGTTTGTTTATAATAAACATCACACAGTTGTGGGTGGTCAACTTGTCGCGCTTGAGATCCTTCAAAGATTTGCATTTAGTCGAATGTCGAATGCGTTGTGACATCGGCGGTAATGCAGGTTTTGAATGGTTCTTACTTATCTAATCGCAATTTTTTAAATAACAGAAGTGAAGTGCGCAGTTGGTGAGGGTGCAACCAGGAAAAGTGGGATAATATGCTGGAGTGAAAAAAGGTGTTTAGTGATTGTGTTGATGGACTGGAAATATGGGGAAGTCGGCCAGCAAACTGAAAAAACGGAAGGATTCCAGTATGTATTTATTCTTGGCGTGTCTTAATTAATTAATAGTGATGTTGGCGGGTAATTATCTGAAGAATTCATCGGCACAGACAGAATCATTAAGAAATATTGTGTAGATCGACACGTGATTATGTCAAGCACTTGAATGTTCGATGACGATCAATGAAATAGTGCCTAGGGCTCGGGGTGTTTCTCAATCTCTTGGTCGCCGACTTTTGACGAGTGGGCAGACTTTTCTTAACGTAATTTTTGCTACTAAGGTATAATTTTTGAAACGGGAAATCCAAAAATAATTTTTTGATTATAACTCTGAATATAATAACCATTTCAAACTTTGGCCGATTATTTACATATAATTATAGATCTTTTGGCAAACCGTGGTTGAATTTTAATAACTAGTTTTTACTCAATTTTTTTTGAAGAAACACGTTTTATTGCTACTGAAATCACAAGTCGATCAATAAAATTCGGTGTAAACTTCCTTTTTATGTTGTTTAAATTAGAAGTAATCGAACACAATTTTGTAAATTTTGTCGAAAAAAGTGAATGAAAAATAAATTCCATCCTTACAAACAGGTGCTCAAGTTATAAAAGTTCGATGGAATGTTGCTAAAAGGTGTAAGGTGTAAAGTTGGTCATAATGTAGCAAAATTTGATTGAAGTGGTTGAGGCGTTTCTTTTAAAAATTCTTACTAATTTCACGTTTTCTTACCAGTCGAGATTTTGACATATAATTATGTGTCAGTCTGTATATAAAAGAATCAAGGATAAAACCTCTCTATAATTTGATAAACTTTACAAACACCGGCAATTGATATTTAAATAACGAATGACGTGTTGTGGATTTTTTTAATATTATCGTTTATCAACTTACTGGTGAGAATAAATATTTTGATTTGAATATGTATTCTGCATTCATAATCTATTTTTGAAATAATCCAAAAAGCAAATATTTGTCGCAAAAAAATTATAAAATATTTTTTGGAATGATGAACGATGAATAAGTGTTAGTTAATTTAATACAGTTTCTGAATTAATGTTATTGTTAAAGTTTGTTTAACTTAATAAAACTCCAACATGTTGATACAACGGGGTGACATTAGAACATACATAAATACATAAAGATTAAAATAAAATCTAACAGATTTTATTTAATGTGATTTTAAGATAATAGCATCAAATTTTTGGGGAAATGAAACACAAATTGTGAGCCCATAATAATGTAAAATATAGCTAAAATTTTGGTCCGATGATTTCTAGGATTATTTATTTTTCGTTTTACAATTTTTCGTTTAGATTTGAATTTTACAGTTTTTCAATTTTTTATTTTCTTTTTGTTTCTTCAATTTTACGATATGTAACTCTTCCGAGTTTTCACTTTAAACATTTTCAGTTTTTCGATTTTCCAACTTTTGGATGTGCGGTTTTTCGATTTGCACTCTCAAGAGTTTTCAATTTTTAATTTTTCAATTTTTCGTATATTTAATTATTGTTCGGATTTCAATTTTTCGTTTCGGTTTTTCATTTTCGATGTTCTGGGGTGGGATTTTGTTTCTATAACGATAAAATATCGGTACCGATAAAATGTGGTCGTCTTTTTCTTTTGCATCTGAAATTTATATTTTCGTTCTTGTCATTTATCACTTCGTATCGTATCAGTAGAAACAAAATCCCACCCCTGATCTTATAATTTTCCTTTTGTTCAATGTGAGATTTTTCAGCTTTAGATTTTTTAGTTTCTCCATCTTTTAGTTTCTCATTTCTTTAATTTTTTATTTGCAGTTTTTCTAGTTCTTATTCTAAATATATAATAATGGCTAATTACAATTTTTTAAAATTTCCACCTTTTCAATTTTTCAATTTTTAATTTTTCAAGTTCTCGATATTTAATTTTTTAATTTTTCAATCTGTCAGTATTGCAGTTTCTCAACATTACAATTTTACAATTTTTGGTTTTTTCAAATTTTCAATTTGATTCGTTTTTCCTTCATTCCAATTTATCGATTCACCAAGTTTCTAGATTTCTAGTTTTTCTTCGTTTCTTCAGTTCTTCGGTTTGTAAATTTTCAAGACTGGAAATCGAGAACTTCAAAAATTGAAAAATCGAAAGAAATTGAGAAAGTTAAAAATTGAAAAAATGGCTAATCGAAAAAACGAAATACGTATTGTAAAATCAAAATATTGAAAAATAACGAACTTGGAATATCGGATAATTGGAAATCCAAAAATTGCAAAATTGAAAAATTTAAAAATTGGAAAATCGAAGAATAAAAAAATCTAGGATTGAAATTTGAAAAACTGAATAAACAAGAAATTATAAAATCAAAAGAAACATTGAAAAAATAAAGGAAAAGAAAAAACCCAAAAATCTGGAAAATGAAAAATTACAAATCGAAGAATTAAAGAAACAAAAAATTGTGATCCCAAAAAATGTTTCAAAAACTTGTAAGATTTAATTTAGTTAATTTTATTTTTTTATGATAACCCTTATAAGTTATAATTAAGATATGTGTGCAAAATTTTGAGATGTCGTCATCAATTTTTTGGGAGAAAGTAAACAAGTAAATTTTGATTAATAATTTACTATGATTACGATAAACTTAAAAGGTTTGCAAGATTTTAGAGCATTCGATTTTGAAGTTTCAAATAATAATAATAATAATTTTTTTTGAAGTTTATTTTAATCGTAGGTTTCACCAATTCCTACAATAAAATTCAGTTTACATCTCAGAGTAAATTAAATAAGCCAATGAATTTAAAAAGCGGAGGTGGGTGGGGTTAGTTTTACCTCTTTTTGTCTGGATTTCGCGATTATCAATAAAAATTCCACTTTTCGTCCAATAAAATGAATGATCAAAAAGACAACGAGGTGGGTGGGTGGGGTAATTTTGAAGTTTTTCTTTAATCGTAGATTTTACCACTTGCCAAAATAAAATCCAATTTTCATCTCAGAGTAAATTAAACAAGCCAATGAAATTAGAAAACGGAGGTGGTGGGGTTAGTTTTAGCTTTTTTGTCTGAATTGCACGATTTAAATATCAACATAAATTCCACTTTTAATCCAATAAAATCAGTGAGCAAAATGAAAACCAAATTCCCCAAAATTTAAAAAAAACATCTTTTATTTAAAAATAAAAAATGAGTTGCGAAGTAAAAATAATAATAATACCTATAACATACGCATACTGTGTTTCAGCTTTTGTGGTGTATTTTTTCTCTGGTTAATTATAATTAAAATTTACTAAATTTCATGCGGTGTTGTATCAACAAAAACTTAGTTGAGGTCACTGACCCAAAACATGTACATAAAATGTTTAAATAAATACGCTAGTTAATCTGAACATAACTCTTCTTTATGAGAAAGAATAAAAAATAAATCTTTTGGCCTTATGCGGAATGTTAATTATTTTCCCCATAAACGAAGTTTTTGTTTCTTCTAAAGCTTTCCACTCGAAAATGTTGTGAATTATTTAATATTTCACAATTTAGTTCAATGCCGTGGGACTAACATGAAAACGACGACCCATTACCCATGAGCTTTAACACGCTACTGAATTAAAAATTACATTTAAGACGAGTACCACTTATATCATGATAATAAAAAAGGTTCGCTGTTTCCACTTTAACAATATTTTTTTTAATCTGATAATGCGACACCAGACAGTTTGACGCTACACACCAAATTTAAATTTAATATACGGTTATCTAAAACTTTATTTTACTAACATGATTTCATTTATCATAAAAAGCTTTAATGATCGATGAGACTGGCAAACGTTCAACGCACTTAACTCGAGTTTTGTTATTAATGGTCTCCAAAGTGTTGTTTCCACCTTCTTTATTTTCAAAAACAGGTTGCAGTTTTGTTTTTTGGTAACTAACCATATTACCTGAGTGGTGTCGCTATTTTTAGAACTTCACCATTTTTTGCGAGCTCTTAAAACAATAAATGTAAGTTATGAGTAATAAAATTTGTAATTTGTCTATACTGACTTGTATTGAAATAGATTATATGCATTCTTCTGCTAGTTTATTGACTAATCCCCACATCCTGTAGCGCATTCTGATTCGATGTAAAAAATTTAAGTAATTTTAAATCTGCTTTAGAGCAGAAGTATAATATAAGACTTATGGAAGCTGCGGTAAAGTTAATGAGATTCGAATCATTTTACGTCATAGTCTAATGAGGTATATGATAATGTACTTGTTGGAGCTATTCAAATTACCTACTGGAAAAAAGTAGTAACTATTAACCACATGTTCGGGTAAACATCTTAATATCTACTAGTTAATTAGTTTTTTTGAAAAACTGGAGTTCAGTTACCTTCGATACATTACATACTTGATCACTTTTGAAGTACTAGGTTATTATTTATTTTTTTTTTTAAACGAAAAATTTTCTATAGAATAACAACCTAAATTTTAAAAGAAAAACAAAAAAAATTGTCATGAATTCTAAAAACACCATCACCAAATAAAACGTTTAATGCAAAATTCCGACCTTAGCGGCTTCTTCTTCTGCTACCATTTAGCGAGACCTCTCTTCTTCAACTAGGAACCCACTGCAACAAAAAATCATAATTATGATTTTTATCTAAATAAAAACAACATAGGAATATATCAGAATTTAAATAAAATTTATGGACACTGATTTTTAACAACGTGGTAGATCAACATTGCAAAACTAGATTTAAAAAATAGACAATCTCACACGACGACGACTTATTTAACAAAATTTCGAGATATCGTCGTCACATTCTTGATGGAGATTAACAGACAAATTTGGATTACCGTTTTATCATCCACTCGTTATGTCTAATACTTTAACGATATTACTTATCTAATAAAATCATGAACAGACTACAGATAGGCCGCAGACAGACAGATACACAAGCAAATGGAAACAGAAGACCGACTTTTTCAAATACTAGGAGCTATGAAACATCTATGCTAGGGAAATAAAAATGCATCGACAACCGTATGTAATAATAATAATTGCAGTTGTGCACATAAACAAAGAAAAACAAGCTGAGTCATTTTGTATACTTTGGTGTTTTTTGCTGCTCAGGCAACGCCCTGTAATATGATACGAATTAAAATTGAATTTCATTTTTAAAACATCAACATTCGCAGACAATATTCCAGATAACTGTGAAGTCAAACGGATAATTTTACCTGACGAGGTTTAATGGGAATTAATTTCAACTTCGCATTACATTTATATCGATCAAAGTTAGAAATTAATAAACAACTAACTACGCTACAGAGAACAATAAACAAACAAGTAAGAGTTAATAGCAACATTTACCCTTTAAATCCGGATTTCCTTTCCTTCCGCGCCGACCCTTGAGGGCACCTCACTTCACCTTTTACTTTAGCACTAAAATAAATTATTTTTAACAAAAGTAACCCATTTTAATGAACCAGTTCGCGGACCGAACACACACCGATCAAAGTCAAAAATGTACTGTGCTAAAACGCATTTGCCTCTTTGCATAACGCAAAGTAACAAAAAGTTCTCACTTCGCTTCTTATCAGAGATTTTTTGTGGAATTTTAGTCGAAGCAAATTGGCGCAACAAGACGTTTATTTAAAATATTCAGAACAGTCTGCTACAATTAAATCTAGGTGAATTTTCAAACGGCAAAATAGGGCACTTCTAATTCACATATTCATAATGTTTAAGTATATATTACCAACTGAAAAAAGTGTTTACGAAAACATTATTAACTTAGACAAAACTTAACATAGAAACATGATTTTAAAAAATTGGTGGAAGGCTATTTCGACAGAACTTCCCTCGCCCCTTAAAGTATAATCTCTGTAACGTAAAAACCAGCGGTATAAATAACACTTAACTAACGGGATAAAATGTCGTTCAGCACTAGGTAAAAGCAATCTGAAACTTTTATTTATGTTTATATCTCGAAAGAATGTCACGTAGAAATTAGTTTGATTTGGATGAGTTTGTCTTCTCCAAACAAACCAAAATTATTAAGTAAACCACAATCGAATAAAATGTTTTGAATATTACAATTCTTATTTTATCATTATTATTTTATAAAGGCGTGCGTATTCTCACATTTTCGGGAAAATGGGGTGACTCGTTCTTAATTTGACCAATAAAAAATTTGTTATGACGTCATAAACTTAGATAATACACAATACGAAAGAAAAAGAGAAAAAAAAGGAAAGAAACTTATATCTTAGTTTATGTTTTTGCAAAAAATTGGACGATTTTGGAAAACTTCAAAGCGGATTCATACACCACACTTATAGGAGTAAATTCTTGTTACAGTTAAATCAAATCACCAGACAAAGAGACAGACAGACGGAAACGGGAGACTACTTTTTTCGTACTGTGGGGGTCATGAAACGTCCAGAAAATATAAAAGTGGCCATTCGTCGGATGGACTCGATTACTAAACTTCCTTAGCTTACGCTCGGGAAGTAAAAACATATTTAAGTAGTATACTGACAATATTTGGGCAAATTAATAGTTTTATTTGCAAAACCTTGCAGATTAAAAGTCTTGATATATGGTTTCCTGTTATCCTGAATTAGTTATCACCTCACATTGTTGTTATTTGTTCTGTTATCCTGAATTCACTAATCCCGAATTTGATTTTCTACGTCATGTCGTACTCTACGTCAATGATTTGATATAACTGGAGTCGGTGTAAGAATTTTCGAAATAATAAAAAAAAATCAGTATAATAAACGGAAAGCTATGGTTTTTTAAGCTATTGCAATCTTGAAAAAAATATAGCATAACATCATGCCATAACACAATCTCGATCTAGCTGCACTTGGAAAATCCGTTGCTATAAGTAGACCCTGTAATGTGTTGGTAGAGAGAAGTTTACAAAGCCGATGTAAACACAGATATAAAAGATATAATATAAAGTTGTTTAATGTTTATATAATATATCTTTAAACAGAAAATAATTAATACCTTTATTATAATTATTATTATCAGTATACATTATTGATTTGTATTTTTGTCAAAATTTTGACCGAAAATTTGTATTAATTATTCTTTAACCCATCAACACTGGCATCTGTATTAACCCTTCTCTAAAACTTTACTCTCTGTCAGAATTTGAGTGAACATGTTAAAATTTCCTATTATTGATTTTTAAAACAGTTACCAACTAACTTATCAGTTCATCACCATCTATTATGTGCAACTTTCCTTTGTCAAAAATAATATAGTAATTTATATTCATTTATAGCCCGCAACACATGTGCACAGAGCTGACATAGAACCATATGATTTAATATTTACGTCACAATATCGAAAGAAATGAGTATGCACATGTTCCAATATACAAGATGTAACGTTGCATTTTATTCATCAATCACACTTCAGCCTCCGTGTTCTTACATTGTAAATGATGACAATGGATGTATTTTGTGCAAAGGTCCTGTATGTTTTTTAAAAGCGCACACTATTTGTCAGATTTTTATTTATAGCAGAGCTTCGATTGTTAATAGATATGAATACAAGCGCACCATTAAATTAGACATTGAATTATTTGTATATTTTTAGATACTAACCTTTAACAAAACACTAATTGACTGCGGCTTTTGCATGATTGATGTTAATATCCATCAGTGTTGTTCTAAACATTTGTCATGCTAGTAAGTAATAACATGAATATGTGATTTATCATTGTACAGTTTTTTAACGTGCTTTAGTCTGCTATTACTTATTACAGAGAAGCTGATACCACTGGGAAGGAGAGCACTATTATGTAATAGTTTTACAATAGCTTATTTTAAAAATTATATAATTTGATTTTGCTGACCGATTATTGTCGAATTTTATATGTATGTTACGAATATCGTGTAAATGGTAAAGCTAACCAACATTTTTCTAGGCATCCCCACCAACCATTTGATGACGTCACCTCAAAATATTGCTTTGTAAAGGCTATTCAAATTTAATATAGCTTATTTTAAGGAAGTATAAAGTTATGTTTGTGCAGTTTACATTTTTTAGAGTTGCTTACAAAGATATTTAAAATAAAGCTATCGACTGATTTATTTATTCAGAAAAGTTACTAAATAATTTTTTATTAACAATGGACCCACGTTTATTGGTTATGCATCACAGACCAGGAAAATTATGCTTATAAATTGCAGCTGGTTTTACTACGCTACCTACATGACCAAATAATCTTATCTTTGACAGAGCGTTATCAAAAAGTGATATCAAAATAAATCAATAAAATATGTTGTTGGTATTTACTATAAAATATCCAAAATTATGTGTATTTTAGTGAAACAATTTTTAAGGCTAGTTTTGCGCCATCACTAGTAAAATTAATTAATCCTTTCACTTAGCGGGGGGTAACAACAGTTAACTCAGCAGTTTTTCTTCTAGAGATATAACGAGATTTCATCAAGTAACAACTTCATTGTGTACGGCAATAAAAATGATGTGTAATATTCATTTATTTGATAAATGAGGTCTGTTTTAACAGTGTAAAGACGTGCTATAAATTCCGAGACTGACCCAAAATTCTTGTGATTTATTATACACATAATTTATAGTTAGTTGAAATTAGTAAGAAAATTGGAATTGTGTGTGTATTTTCGTACCTTATAAGATTAGATAAAAAAAGTCGTATTCACATTGATAAGTAACTCCGAAATATTTATTCTAAAAATACAATGAAAATATTTAAACAAATAAATAATTACAAAACGCGGTATCTAATGTCTTCATGAATCATGCAAATGTCTGCATGAACTTTTCATGATAAGACTCATGATTCATTAAAACATGTGTTCACGCTTTGTAGTACGAAAACGTAGTAATCTTTTTCTTGTTAAAAATATACACATGTTTAAATATTTGCATTTTTACTAACGCTTTATTTAGAACTGTACTGACATATTATTACTACTTAAGAATAATATGGTGATCAGGACATTACAGAAATAACAAATTTTATCAGTTGTAGAGTATATGTATGTATTATAATATTATGCAACATTAACTTTACTAATAGCAATTTCTTTATTAAACCTTATCAGTTGGAAAGTTTAACCATCAGATTATAAAGAAATGTACGATTATTCAAAGAAAGAACTTTAGTGCCACGACAATGTGATAACGATATCGTCAGATTCAGTCGCAATTTAATCGAGTTTGATATGTGATATAAAATTGCAACAAGTAGCAGTTTCTACAGTCCCTATATTAACTTAAAAAATATGAAATTTTTGTCTAAACCGAAAATGCAAAGTAAGTAACAGCCAGTTCCAGTTTTATAAACACTTATCCAATCGGAATAAATATTGCACAAAGTCTATATGAACATCCACCGCTCCCATTTACAATATTTATAAAAGACGCTTTAGTTTAGTACAATTTCCTGCGATAATCTACAATTCACCTTTATTTTGCAGACTTATCTTGGACCAAGTTCGGTTCCCTTCCGCTGAGGTCGAAATCTCGCATCAACAAAGCTAACATTGCCAACAACACTATTTCCTCTTCCGACAATAAAAACACGAAGCACATAGATGTGAAGCAGTGGTTAAAATCGATGGATCTCCAACAGTATGACAACCTATTTCAGAAATTTAACGGCGTCGAGGATTTGCTGGAATTTTCGGAGGCCGATCTCAAGGATCTGGGAGTCAAGATATCGTCGCATCGAGCGACCATTATTAGCAATTTAACCATTTTGAGGGCGAAATATCATGGTAAGATATATTAGAACAACCGAAACATAATTCCATTGCATCAGCTGGCAAAACATATTGAGACGGAAGTAGGATGAAATTAAAATTGGCAATGATGTAACTGTAACGGATGCATATTTAAGTTTCAAATATGGCAGCTGAAATTGTTTTGTAGAAGTTTTATCTAAAATTGATGATCAAATTTTAATACAGATTTATTTTCCAACAGGAAATTTTAGAAGAACACCTTCAGTTCGGCACAGTGTCGCAGTCGATAAAACCAGGACCATCGAGGAAAACGAACAAATGTAAGTTTAATGACCATATCAATTTATTTAAATTGTTTCAAATAGACAGCGTTTCATTTCACTGATTTATAAAGTTCGAAATATTTCATTTCCATTGGTTCATTACTCTTGTCGCTGTATAAACTGTTCTTTTTCTATTTCTTCAATGATTTTAAAGTTTTCGAAATTTTTGTTGCGCAAAATATTTTCAACAAAAATAGACTTTGATTGAATATATGATTATTTTTATTTGACCAACTTACTCAACAGTAAAATAGTACTTCCTAGTATTACGAAACGATTTATTTTTTTCCGTTTTATATACGAGTTTGTATATACCTACTGATTATTAAGTCTGATAAGTTGATAACATAACCAACAAAAAAAGTAGATACTTTAAGTAATATTGACATATTTCTAAATACTTATAATAATCATACAAGTGAAAGTTCACTGGGAGCAACAGAAAAGTTAATAAGTAAAAATATAGAACGATTTTTTTTGAAATTTTAGTAGACAACTTTTTAAAAAGTATTTAAGGAAGTGGAGTTGATGGTTCTACTTCACAGCGCAGAGACGTTCTGTATACAACTTTAGACCCATTTTTTTATACAATAAATAAAAAAAGACATAAGAATTTAAATCGTATTGTCAGAAAAATGTAATCTCCCTACGTGATAAAATATGCATGAAAAGTGCCACTTTATCTTTTTCGTCTTTTTGATTACCCGTTACGTAACACAATGATGGACTATCTCACATTTTTCCAATTGATGAAGCATTTTTTATGCGTTAGCGTTACTGTTCCATCTCTCTGATATTGATGCGGAGACTCAAATGAACCGTAGATAAGTGCACAGATTGATTTTATTCCTTTTGCATTATTCACAAAATTCAGACCCTCTCACATAAAGTGCTGAATTAGTTAAAAATGAACAAATATAAAGAAATGACCCCAAAAAAGCCACAAAAAAAGAAATGTATTTGGTCTGAAAATTGAAAGCAAAATTGGTATGCGTCGACGCTAATGGCACAAACGAAAACACTGAATGATTTAATGTAAAATCAGATTGATTTGGGAGGGATTCTGTTCATTTTCGTGGTAATGTTGTGTCTCGTTAAACCGATAATTTCAAAAATATTGACCAAAATATTGAATGTATTTTAACTGTGACTTCCTGTCATCTTTAGGTACATTTATGTGTACGTCACTTTTTTATTTTTAACTTTTAATTATAATTTCTGCGTAATTTATAAATTTACGACCGCCATTAGGAAGTTAATACGACAGCTCGTAACATCTCCCCAAAAATGCAAAGATGAGACTTTCCAGATAAAATGAAAACCCTACTTTAAAATACCGCTTTTACATGATATTACATTTCAGAAAAAACAAGTGCACTGACTAAACTGGATAAGCTCGACCACCGCTTTAATTTAATTACCTCGCGTAACCATAAAAAAGAAGTTAATTTGCAGTTTCGTTTCATTCCGAAAAAAAGTCGAGAAAACACAAAACCGCAACTTTTTCTGTTTTATAGCAAGTGTACTAACTGGTAATTTATCATTTGCCTGTACGGTTTTCGTATGTAAGAGCAAGATCTCAATAATTGATATCCCTTGGGGTCTGGCGTGCCCGTCACAACATTATTACCCTCATCAAAAGAGAAGCAAATTAATAGATGCTCTTCATATCCCGTAATTTATTTATCGAGTTTACAACCAAATGCACTTTAAGGATGCGACGGTTTACAGATCTTCGTACTTAGTAGTACTTAATTAACTGCATCAAAAAACATAGACAAAACGAACGAAAGTTTTAGCTGAAACTGTTGGACTTAATTAATATCCTGGGCAGTACGTGATTTGTGTACACAATTATATTGTAATTAAGTGCAACGTGGTGCTTGCAAAATGAGAAAACTTCGACACCCCGTCTGTATTACGAGATGCATAATAAACAGTAGTTTGTGGAGCAGTAGAACGAAACCTGGCAACCAACTTTGCATGTGGTATCAGGATAATAAAATTCTTACTTCAAAGTTTGACGCTGAAAGTATATTTTATGTATCTTTTCGGCACAAGCAGCGGATTCACTTGAACATTAAATATTTAGGTACATTTAGTCCACGTGATACAAGTAATTGAGCAAAAATTGAGATAGGTTAAGATTTTGTCAGTGAGTTCTTGGCTAATGACTATATTACCTATGTGTATAATTCAGAAAACGGTTAAATGTAATATTTCCATACTTCCGACTGGCCACATTTTTGGTTTCTATAATTTCGAGTAAATCAGATTGAAGGTTACTGCAGATTACATTAGTGTTTAAATTTAACTAGCTGAACTACGAAATGCAATTTTGGTCCAATAATGGGTTGATATTAATTTTATTAAATTATATGCGAGTAGTTTCAGCCTATATCTTTTCCTCATAGTACCTACATATTTATTATCTTTAAGTTAAACTTAAAATAATGTACTTAAAAGTATCGAGCTTTTTTTAGAAAAGTCTAGAGATTTTTAACATTTATTTTATGACTAATTAAGGAACAAATGTTAACCATGTTTGTGTCTAAAGTTGGTTTCTTCCAAGATTTTTTTCTATCAACTAATCACTTTGAGAAAACAGTTGAGAAACTTAGTTCCAAAGTGCAACAGGTCCAGCGTAAGATATCAGATGGAAATACTGTTACATTCACTTGCCCTTGAAATATATATCTCGTTTTACATATCTTTTATTTATAAAAACAAAACAATCCACTTGTTCGAATTTTTTAAATCACAATAAGTCCCCATTCCATTTTCAGTTCAAAATGTCACGTGTTCATATTCCCCTTTAAAATTCAATGACTTCTAAAATATTTCGATCCTCTTACGTGATAAGATTTCTATCAGCATATTATCGTACTTCACTGTCAAAAAAGATTCCACAGATGATGCCGAACATATAATATGAATGCTACAAAAGGGCCTGCTGATTCCGATTAAAAAATACGAGAGATGAGAATCAGAGAATAAAAAATTATTTCTTAAACAACCATGAGAATTGCGTTCTGGTTACCATTTGAATAATTATAAGGTGGTAATGCTCTGTTTTCTCGACGTTTCGTAACCCGTGGAGTACGAAAAAATAGGTCTCTCGTTTCCGTCTATCTGTCTGTTGTTTGTCGACTTTTATTAGACAGATTATCTCCGAAACTATGACAGATTGTTGTCAGACTGTATATGTCATTTAACAATATCGTGCTGACAGATAGTAAACCACTAACTAGAATTTATCTAATCATCTCCGCCAACAATTAAATTAAACCCATTTTTTTTGTAGTAACTGCTGTTTATATTTTATAAAATAACATACTCCTGTACTTGTTGTTTATGAATCCGCCTTGATTTTCATCACAAGTACTTTACAAAAATTTTCGTGCACTAGTTCACCACAAGAGTGCCACATAGCTAATATTTGGATTACGCACATAACGAACTCCCGGTGGACGTGTGGGTTTTTTCGCGCCTTAGCCAACTTGAGCTCTGCTTGTGTTGGTTTGAATCCTGTCCTCGTCGACTTTTCTTTCTAACACACTGAATATGTTTGACTTGTTGTTGAGTTCAGGAGCGGTGGGAAGTCCTGTCTAAATAACTTTGGACTTTTTTTTTAATTTTCGCAAATTATACTGTTCTCCTTCGCGTTCTAGGCAGTTTCAGTAGTGACAAATATTCAAATATCAGTTCATCAAATTTCGAAAGTTTTGCTATGCAGTTTGAAATCCAAATTAGTTTTCAGGTTATATTTTGAAAATTAAGCGAGTTATGTAGCAGCGAGTATTCTGATTTCCCTGGGGTGTTATGCCGCAATTATTTTATATTTTGAATAAGAGACGATTTGACTGGATTTCTACACTAATGATTAATGAATATAAATTTAGTTTAGGTGGACAGAATCGCAAAAAAATCAAATTGTTTCGGCAGTCCACTTATATATTTTTTAAACACATTATTAAATAGATGTAGAGTGAATATGCGTTGGTTTTTTTTTTTTTTTTTGATTAAAGATTGTCTGCTGTAAGCATTATAGAAAACCATTTACACTCAACCACCTGTAATAAATATACTTCACAGACGAGGTAACCGCAGTGTATTATTCATTTCAAAACATAAGAAGAATAAAAAAAAATGCAGAAGTTTATGTTAACCCAAATATTCCGCCAAAATCTCTTCAGCTTTCAAAAGTTAAATCAAATGTTACTAATCGATAGAAATGTTTGAACATCACAAATTTACACATAGAAAGAAACATTTCAAATATTATGTGCCTCTGATAAAGGCGATCGAACTTCACTCAATTTTGAGATTCAGTTTTCGATGATAATTAAGTGAATTACATCATGAACTCAATAAATCCTCATATCACATAATACAAAGCATATATGAAATAGACACAATAGGCGCATATTAAACACGGTTCAAATTAAAATAATAATTCTGGAATAAATGTTCAAATTCAAGTTGTAAGAAAATGATAGTCTTCCCATTTTCGAGACCACGATGATTCTAATTTAACTGATGATTTTCAAGGTCCTTTCTCTCAAAATACATCGATGTTTAAGTTTAGTTTCAATGTCATGATTCATGAATGAATTATTATAAATCACGAATAAGAAGTGTTTATAATATAATAATTTTTAGTTCAGCCTGAACATGTGAATTTTCTGCCACGTGTTTAAATGAAAATTTTCATTATTGTGTTTTAATTGTACTAAAATCTTGAACTGTCTCCGAAACTACCGATTGTTGTCAAATTTTATTATGTGTATTACGATTATCATGTAGATAATAAAACACTAACCAAACTTTGTCTGATCATCCCCACCAATAATGTGATGACGTCACCTCAAAATTGTAAATAGTAAATGGGTTTTAAATTGTATAAAATGGCATAATCTCACACGTGTCGTTTATGAATTCGTTGTGAGTTTTTACTCGAAACATCCTTATTTCTGGAAAACAAAAAAAAAAATATA